ATATATATATATATATATATATGTGTGTGTATGTACATATATGTGTATCTATATATGTGTATGTATGTATATATGTATGTATATAAATATGGATTTATACACGTGTCTATTTTTATATGCATGTATACATATGTGTATATATTTATGTTGGACTCAAGTATTTATAGTTTATGGGACAGTGTATTTTTAGGTGTAGGTTTTTTAAAATTCCCCTCTTTATATGAGACAGTTGAATGTAAAGAAGGAAAGCCAAGTCCTATGTTCCTACCCTAAGTGAGTGTATAAGGTCTTGCAGGATGTATAGAATTATTAGACTTCATTTAATTTATTTTACTTCGTCAGGTACCGAACACCAAAGCATACGTCATATGAGGACCTGGAGCGAAAGTATTGGAAGAACATTACCTATGTGTCCCCAATTTATGGAGCTGATGTGTCTGGTAGCATAACTGATCCAGATGTAAAGGTAAGGAATGGAAAATGTAAAACTTCTAGCATGTGTTTTAAGTTTTTATGTAAAAGATATGAAACAAATGTTTTTATTTTATTACACCTTGGTATCATCTCTGCTGCAATACATGTGTGTGTCTTGCTTGTGTATTAGAACACAAGATTGAAGAGCAGAGACATCTTGAAAAGAGAGTTTTACATATTTCTGTTATGAGTGTTATTTTTTGTCAAATTTGATAATTGCTAAGGTTTCTTTATATTAGGGTGAATTAAAGTACAAATACTGACTGCCCATGTTCTTAACCATTGGATTCGGGTGCTTCACTGAGGCTTGTATTCTGGGTGCATTTGAACATTTGTTTGTGATGTCATGACTCCTTGCCTCCCCACTGGAATGTTGTTATCCCTCTGTTTCTTTCTGTTTCTTTCTTTCAGTCTAATTACTATTCAAAATCTTTTAATTCATGGCGAGTCATTCACATTACCCTAGCCTTCATCCAGCCTTTTTCATAATGACATGATCCGGTCAACCTGACCTTTGACCATCTTTTTTTTCATGACTTCATGGTCCTATCTTCTGGATCCAAGGGATTAAGCAGAGGCATGGAAAGAACAAGGGATGGAGATTTATATTTTCTTTGAATCATTGTAGGAGTGGAACATCAACAACCTGGGAACAATATTGGATTATGTCAATGAAGATTATGGCATCAGCATAGAAGGAGTCAACACTGCATATCTGTATTTTGGGATGTGGAAAACCACTTTTGCTTGGCACACTGAAGACATGGACTTGTACAGGTATGAGTGTTTATCAGTTGATGTAAATGAAATAGGTATTGGTAAATATTTTACCAGTTGTGTGTAGAACTTTATTTTTATACAGTATTTGAGGAATGGTTGGTTTTCTTTTTTTTTCTTTTTCTTTTTTTGTGTGAAAAAGACCAGTTAGTAATTAACCCACTGTTTGCATGGTGTACATGCCATGTTCACTATAATTTTAATTGTATTTACCCCTTGGATCTGGTTGCATGACGGAAATCAAGGAGCTGAAAACCCCAGGCAGTGGGTTACGTAAGTGGCCAGCATCCAGGGCATGTGGCACATAGACCGGGGCAATGTCTATATTTGTCTTCTGATTTGCTTTATCCAAATGGTAATTACTTATTTTACTTGCACAGACTCCATATCTTCTCTCTTTGTAGTAAATAGCTCAGTGAAAGAAAAATAAAAAAAAAAGGAACATTTGGATATTTGTCATATATCTCATTTTTTTGTGATTTTCAATTTTGCGTAATACAACCTGCGTCGCTAGTCACAGCGGCCAGGAATACAGTGTGCAGCATGGAAATGTTGTCCTCCCTGGAGCCAGCGCTTCTCCAGTCACTGCTTGCGCACATTAGATTCCACATTCGTTTATCGATGGGAATAATGCTAAAGCCCCCTTTTAAGTGCCAAATGAGTCAAATTACACTCCAAGAGATTTTCGCACTCATGGCAAATCTTTGATGGTTTGTTTGTGTCACCCGGGCCGCGGTCCATTTACCCGGTTGACGCCATCTTCATGACACCTGGGCAGCTGACCAAAGTTTTTTCTTGACGTGGCCGCAACATTATCCGGGTCCAAGGGGTTAACCCAGTGCCACTGGGAAAATATAGAGCTCATTATAGTTCAGTTTTGTGAAATGTCTCTACACATATATGGCTCTACAAGTGCCTAGCCGCCAAGGCGCTCAATTAGTAGACCTTGTGACTCCACCTGATTTCACCTTTCCTTTAGATATTTTTTCTTTTTTCTTTTTGTTTTTACAAATGCTTTTAAAATCAGTGTTGTTATTGTTACGGACATCATGTTATTTAATAACATCAATAGTAAGTATTTATGATAAAATTGAATATTTCTGAACATAAGGGAAAATGATAAACAGGTGAGATAGGTAATAACAGGAATTGACTCCTCAGTGACTAACTATTTGTGGAGCCATTTAATGTGTAAAGACTCGCAATAAGCTAAGCTAAAGGCGGGCTTGGTGTATAATTTTGCCATCCCTAGTGGCATTGGGTTAATTGTCTACACATATACTTTTATTTTTTATGGTCATTAATATTTCTATGATTTTATTTTAATCAAAATGTCAATGATGATGACAGTATCATTATTAATAGTATTAAAGAAAAAAAAAAAAAAAAAAAAAAAAACTTTTCCCAAAAATTCAAGTAACTGGAAATCGGGTGCTGTCACTTAGGGTCTACTAATTTACTCCTTTGTAGCTGAGCACTTGCAAAACCATTTGTGTACAAAATAGGAAAAGAAAGGAAAAGAAAAGAAAAGAAAAAAAATCTATATACATACATACATGCACACACATACATACATGTACACAGTGGACAGTCAATGTAACCATGACTGATGGGTTAACATATAAGTGAAAGAGTATTTACTGGCTAACTTTACAACTCTTCATAGTTCATTTTATTTTGTTGCTTGATATATTTTTGAAATAAAAAATTCTTAATATTTCAGCATAAACTACTTACACTTTGGAGCCCCCAAGACTTGGTATGCCATACCTCCAGAACATGGAAGAAGATTGGAAAGGCTGGCCAATGGCTTCTTCCCTAACTCATTCAAGGCGTGCCCGGCCTATCTGCGGCACAAAATGTCCCTGATGTCTCCACAGATATTGAAGCAGTATTCAATACCATTTAACAAGGTAAACTTTCCTTAAAAGTATGTGATATCAGTCACTCGGGTTGATATTTAGTTGTTGAGTATAGTGTTAGTATAGTATGAAAGATGATTACCTGCCAGCTTGGTCAGTATATATTCTCTACTAAGATGTATGAAGATAATATGAAATCAGAGGGGTAGTCATGAGAGAGGAAATGGATGCTGGAATATAACAACAAAAATTTTCAAATTGCCTTAAGAAAGCTATCAAGCAGAAAAAAATATCTAGATGTTAATTATGTGTATTACGGTTGTTTTCTTTCTGTCCTCTGATATACATCAGCTGTAGACTTTGTCTTTGTGTGGAAGCACTAGTGTTAACCCACCCGCGCCGGAGCAGCATCCCGGCACCGCGTGTTAGGCCGAGGCTGATATGCCTGGTCAGGCTGGTCCCGCGGTAGATGCGGGATCCGGTGTATTTGGGTTAACATATTAACCTTTTAATTTTCTATTTATTCATTATCTCTTTCTCTGTAACTTCCTCTCGGTCTAGTGTAAACTGTATGACTCATCGGAAGTAGTTATTTTTGTAGTGATAAAACTGAATGTTAGTTCAAACTGATATCTTTGGTATTTAGTAAGATTTCTCTGTTTTCTTGTTTTACCTTGAGATATCTGGCAGTCAGTTTCCAAACATTGAATGTGATCTGTAGATTTTTTTTTAGATTCAATTTAATCTTGCCATTGTGAAAGTACTTCCGTATATTTTTAAAAAGTGAGGCTCATGCTACTTACTGAGTTAATTCTGTCATTATGAAAGAGCATTATCAAAAGCTTGATATTGTCTTTGACTATAATGTATTTGAATTTTTGGTAATGTTTTGGTGATGCTTGGTAACGGTGAAAATGAGACTATTTTACCACTAGTCCTTTAGTGATGTTAAGCAGAAGCATCTGAAATTATGTTATAGAACACACATCAGATTTCATAGCAGCTTTGTTCCTGTTTGAATAAATTAATGAGATTGTGAAATGAAATTTTTTTTTCATAAAAGCAGTTCTGTCTAACAATTGCTTTTTAATCTTCCAGATCACGCAGGATGAGGGAGAAATCATGATCACCTTCCCATATGGTTATCATGCAGGATTTAACCATGGCTTCAATTGTGCCGAGTCCACCAATTTTGCAATGCCTCGTTGGGTGGAATATGGTAAACGTGCCACTCAGTGTCAGTGCAGGTATGATAGCATTTTGTTTTAGGCTTTAGAGGTTGAGGAGTGATTATTAATCCCATTATACCAGAATGGTGTGATTTATATGCCATGTCCACTGTGTTTTTGATATGCCATGTCCACTGTGTTTTTGATTTATTGTGTTTATACATTGATGGCCCATGGCCAGTGGGTTAAAATTGTTTCTGGGAAATCACAGAGCTTTTGATAAGGATGTGTTCTTATTCTTATGATTTATTACAGTAATTACTTATTTATGTTTAGGTTAAAGTCCAAACATCCATAAGTAATTTTTCCCTTACTATTTATTGTATGTCTTTCATACTTGATTGTTTTTTGTTGTAATGTCATTATGAAATTTTTGTTTTTACAGAGGGGACATGGTTAAGATATCCATGGACACATTCGTAAAGCGTTTCCAGCCTGAGCGTTATGAGCTTTGGTTGGCAGGCAAGGACATTGGGCCTCACCCAGAGGACCCAACCCGCTCCACTGCCGCTGCGCAACCTTCCATTAATGATGTTCTGTGCAACAAGAAGTTAGTCTTGTTTCCTTTTCTTTTCCATTGTTATTTTCTTGTAGTTGTCTTGAAAGATCAGTTATATAATCTTGAGCTGCATTTTCACTAGTCATATTTAACTCTGGAACTGACTTGTGCTTGGGCTTTTCACTTTGGCCAGGCCTTGGTCAACTAACTAGGTAACTGAGGAGCTGTAGTTGAACTGTTCTTTGCCCAGTTTTGGCTCCTTTCTGGATACAGTTGAGATTTGCTTATTATGATCTTAGAACTTAGTTTTGTGGAATGTTAATAGAGTAGTGTAAATGTTTTAAAAGTTTATTGATTTTTTATAAAACCTTTATTTATTTGGAAATAAATTGAAAGAGACATGATTACTTGAAACTGGAAAACATTAACCTCAAAGAATGCAATTCCTTAGTATTTCATTGCCTCTTAGCTCCTAACAACCAGAATTTTGACATTTTTAAGAGCAAAGTTGGCCTTTATTACAATTTTACGCACCAGAAAAGACTTTTGCTCTTATTTTAGATAGTTACTTTACATTGGAACATTGATTTAGGAAAACTGCCTTTTGTATATGAAAAATGTGTTTGAAGGGAAATCACACAATCTTTATAGTAGTAAATCAAGCGTTCATGTATATGTAGTTAAAAAAGGAAGGAATACTCCCACTAGCTCAGTCACACCAGAAGGCCATATTATAAAGGGTAAGGAGGGGGTCCAAGGGGATGGGAGCAGGGAATGGAAAGGTGGCTGTTGTAATCTCTTAATGGCTTGGAGGGGGTTATAAAGAGGTGATTTGTCAGGAGAACCTGCTGTGAAGCATAGGAATGGGGATGATAGCTCTCTGTGGCCTTGAGGCTGGAAGAAAGATACTGAAGGATTCAGTCTTTTGGGTTATTAGATTGGTGCATTTTGTAGAATGGCTATATATTTGTTGTATCCCCCCCCCCCATTTTCCAGTATTTTTACAGATAATCATTAGGGAATCATGTTTTTGCTAACTGATTATGGCATTCAGGCAATAGAAATAAGGAGAAAACATGATAACTTTTATCATGCTTCTTACTAATCATATTTTGAAGGTAACCTAGTTTCTCATAGCCTGAAGGAGCTTAATAGTAATATAACTAATATAAATCGCTGGCTGGAGTTTGACTAGTGAAATTGCAGCTCGTATTTGTACGCTTGCTTTTTTCCATTATTTTTTTTTCTTCTTCCTATTGAATGCTTTCTTTGACAAAAGTGCACCTCTGATAAAATTCCATTTGCATGTATTTGTGCTTCTGATGTGTTATTTACTTGTACATATTGTGGGTGTCACTCTCTTCCCTAGGATGATATAAGATTTCTGGGATTCTGATTAAGATTTCTGATATTTTCATTACACATTTTTGCTTCAGAATTTTGGAGAAAATACGTAAAAGATACTTCCTTAACTCTTGTTTGTTTTATTGTTTAAGGAGCTTAAAGTGCATGAAGTGGCCATTGCTTGATGTAGAGATTGTGTGCAAAGTAAGAAATTTTGTGTTGCCAGATAATGCTTGATCACTGCTTATAGTGCATCCATTTTATAATGAAATTCTCCTGTTAACTAAATTTTTAGTTCATAGAATCAATATTTCTGCTCATTATGCCATTAAAAAATAATATTTTGAAAGGAAATGTGTAAGTTTATAATAAGGTAATAGATATCTAGTAACTTATGATGCTTTCCTCTTTTTTTCTTTTATTTGATCAACTAAGCAAGAGAAAATATTTATAAAATGGATGATAGGGAAGCAATTATTTATAAAATGCTTGCTTAAATATTCTATTCACCCTGCCCATTTAGGATTGGTTTGTAGTTTGTGCATGTGGTAGCTAACAGTGGTCCCCTGCAGGCATGGTTGCAGGTGTGGGAGTCGCAGTCGAGGCAGCCATGGAGGGAAGAAAGGCACAGAAGTTGTGTCCATCTCCTGCCCGTCAGGTGATCCTTCCCATAGTTGTCGGGAGACAAGATGGCTTAAGGAACTGGAGGCTGTGGCTTGGGGTTTGGATGAGGTAGCCACCCTCCATCTATGCCTTCCTCCTGCAATCTCCTTGAGGCCAGTCTCCCCTACCCCAATTGTTCCCCCTGTCCCAGCCTACCTTCCCTTCACTGTACACCAGGAGGATGATCCCAAGCCTGACAAAGGGGATCACCAGTACCCCACATTCTTCCCTGTACCAGCATCTGATTCTAACTCTGAGCCTCGTATTGGTTATCATTGTTCCATGTGTAACAAAGCAATAGACAGAGATGTGTTCAGGAATCATATGAAAGATCATGCAAGGAATAAAGTACCTACAAAGCATTACTGTTATATCTGTGACAAGTATTACTCATCATGTATTAATCTGACTAAACACCTGAAAAAGCTACATCCAGGCGAGCCTATTCCCAAACCTCTTGAGCTTATTGAGCAAAGTGATCAACCACAACCATCCCCATCTAGTGATTATGGCACCCTTAGCCCTGGTTCCCTCTCAGGCCCTACATCCCCATCATCACCACAAACTGTTTTCATATCGTCTAGAGAATTAGAGTCTGCAAATAATTCTAGTTCATCTTTGAATTTCCTCTTATACAAGGAAGATCCTTCTTTTGGTGGGAATAATTTAGCTGTTTTACGGAGTTCCTTGAATGATGAGAAAGAAACATCACATTTAAAGTTGTTCTCACATTTTGAGAACATTGATCCTGAGATGTTTGCCTTAGCAGAGTCTTGTATCAAACCATCACTCACAAGTTCAACAATTATGGCTTCTTGTGATCCTGAATTAGGTGCATGTGTATCCATTACAGACACTAGTTTATGTGAAGATGACAGTCATGAGCCAGAACAAGATGTGGAGATGACCCCTCCATATAGTAAGACAATAGAACTTCCTCTCACAACAAATGATCAGTCATTTTTTGATCTTTATGAATGTCATCAGTCTCTGGACTTTAACTGTCCTGGAGGTAATCACTTAGATTCACCAGCAACTGCTATGGAGGATATTGAAGGTGACATAATTGAACGATATGATGAAGCCGCTTATTTTGAAAAAAGAGAGGTAAATAATAAAGGCATAGAATCAGATGATTTAGAAACTTTCCAGAATGAAAAGTCGGAGTATGATATTGTGCATGATATATTTATTGATACTGAAGAGAGTACTGATGCTTGTAGCAAAAAAACAGAAGAGGTTGAGGAGGTGCCTGTAGCTCCTTCCCTGCTGGAGATCTACACTGATCTCTTGCATGAAGTGGATGAATGGGATTATGGTGTTGAAGGTGCAACAGCATGCATACAAGTGCCTTTTGAAGATGAGGCTGTTGCTCTCTCAGCACAAGATCAACCCATATACACCACTCTCATGACTCCCCCAAGAGTCACAGGTGCTTGGAATAACCATTACGATCATGAGTGTGACGGGCAACTTTGTTCACTTTGTGGAATGTTTTGGAAGCACTTAAAGTCAAATGATAATGAAACAGACACAGAATCTGTTGATATGGACTTAGCCTCATTGTGCACTTCAACCACAGTCACTGTTGCTGAGAATGATACACTACATGTGTATTCAGATAGTGAGGTGGAAGAAGAGTGTGATCTATCTCTTGGGGAACAAACTAATGGCTCATCTGTTGTTTCTGACAGAGTTATTTGCAATGGCTCACGTTGTATTCCAGATAGTTGTCTGTGGAACCCAAAGAGGCAAAAATGTGAGAATGAGCCCCCACAGATAAGTACTCTTCAGAAGAAAGGTAATGCTAATGCTTACAAACAAAAAGGCTTTTTGGAACCTTCCAAAAATGTTCCAGAGAATAGTGATCTGTGCATTATAAACACCAAGCCTCTGTTTGGTTACAGTAAAAATGCATTTTATCCACAGTTTACAAACTGTTGGCCTATGATGATGCCAGCTGTTTCTCAGTACATGTATGCAATGGTAGGCTCTGATTGGTACTTTCATCTAGATCGAACAGCAGTTCCTCCATTGCTGCCACCAGGAGTATTCCCTCACTGTATGGCTATTGACTGGCAGTAAATTCAGATTCGCATCAGAACAGTTAACATTAATGTGTGATGTAACACATGAAATACTTTTATAGGTTAAAATACAGGAGACTTCTCTAGGTTAATTTACTAGTCAGGTTACTTTGTAACTCTAGAACGTATCAAACTGTGTAGCTATATACAGCTGAAAGTATAAAGAAATCTTAGTATTGAAGATCTCTCTTTTTCACTGTCATCTTTACACTTTCACCCTCATTTCTTTAATTTAATTTATTTTATTATGTATATATTTTTTCTTTTTTTCTAACTTAAAAGACACTGCATTCTGTTCTTTGCCTTTCAATCATGAGAGAATGTGAAAACAAAGGCCATTAGTTCAGTTCATTTAATACTTTGCCTTTATTTCACATGCACACAGACTGTGGTTGGTGGTACTTCCCTGGTTTCCTCACTCATGCTTCTTCCTTCCCCCTCCCTACCCCTTCCCCAGCCCTATCCATATCCCCATCACCCCCTTCCCTTTTCCCAGCCCCATCCATATCCCCATCACCCCCTTCCCTTTCCCCTCTTCCTTCCCCTGTCACCCTGATATCCCTCTCTCTCTCTCTCCTCCCCAAGAGATCCCTTGCATCTTGTCCCTCATTGACCTCAATGCCTTGGCTCCCCAGATGCAAGCTCCCTCCATGGCTGCTCTCACTACCTCTTTGGGATATGATTGTGGTTGTGTTTTCCTACTTTTAAGTGGATCTAGCTTCTAAAGGTGCAGTTGAAATTTTTGTATTTTGACTGTTGAGTGATTTGTGTGGAATGTCCTCGTACCAACTAAGAGGTAGTTGTTAAAAAAAAAAAGGGACCATCCAAAAGTCATTGAATGAATTTCAGTTTTAATGTATAATGTTTCCCCATTCATTTCACATTTACTACTAGAGTTGGAATTTGAACTCGGTGAAAAATGTATGTAGCTTTTTTGTTATGTAAAATGTTTATATTTGCTTCTTAATTTAATATAGCTATGAACAATGTTCAGTGCCCATTGTAGTGATTCAGCTTCTAAATTAAGGAATGTTTAATGTTTAATGGCAGATAACTATAGTTTTTTATTTTGCATTGTTACTGTACACGTTAGAACAAAAAAGAAATAAATCTAGCTGTTCAGATAGCATTTATGATGATAATGCAAAGCTTAAAATTGGTTTGTTTTTTGCATTATTTACAAGAAACATGAAATCATGTCACATCATTGTTTCGTGGCTCTTATGATATTTCTTTCCTTATGTAAGTTTGACTAGTTAGTAACTTTTGTTATTGTCATCTTTGTTGTTGACATTTCTAATTCTGTGATATTAAGATTTTTTAAAGCTTAATTATTACTAAAGATTATGGGACTTTAGTATTGGCAGTGCTGATGTTTTTTTTTATATATGCTGTAACTGATACCTCCTAAATTATCATATGTTTTATGGGTTGGGTATTCTCTGTCTTTAGAGGTCTGGACATATCTGACAAGGCCATAGTTCCCTGCATATTTTTTTTTTTTAGTTTTTATTCTTATCAGTTACTTATTTTGATAAATGAATACCTTGCTAGTTTCTGCATTGTAAACAAAAAAGATATGTATATATTTCATGTTCTCTTGTGTTCATGGCTAACACAATTTTATCATAGACTGGACACAGTGGTTATTAAAGTGGACACTAAATTTACTGAAACCATTTTTTTACTGTACAGGGTCAGAGGCTTAACCAAAATTTCATTATTATTGTTTGCTTTTCAGTGCTTTTTGCTACTTTTATTTATTAGTGGCCCAGTTTATGGTATCAGTTTTTGTCCAGTCATGCTATGTAAAAGAGGGTATCCAACCAGAAGGGATATATGGCAAATATTTCATAGTGTAGGTGTACGACTTCATTCAGTATTCTTATATATGTATATTTATTTCCTCCATCTTGTTTTTGAAGTACAAAGTGGAGTAAGTATGTCTGCTACAGTGTGAATAGTATGCTTGCTTCCTCCACATGGGATAAGACTTGAGCCGAGTAACCCAAATTTGTTTATGTAATCATACCTAGTGAATACAGAAGATTTACGTAATTATGCAAGTCTTGTGAAGTACATAAGAGGTTAACCTGTTAATTAGCCAAGAAGGTAATATAATTTCCCCATAAACCAAGTGAGGCTTTAAGTTCCATTTCAGATTTGCATTGGATATATTTCCACATTAATAAAAGTTCTAGTAGCAATGCAGTTTCTCCTTATAAATGGGTACCATTGCAGGGGTCTCTTTCTTTTGTGTGTGTGTGTGTGTGTGTGTGTGTGTGTGTGTGTGTGTGTGTGTGTGTGTGTGTGTGTGATAATTTAAAAAGAAGTTTGTTTATAACTGGTTTAGTTTGATTCATCAACTCTTTTTAAATACTAATCTGCTGACACTTAAAAGACTTATATTTACAGATGTTGATATTTTAAAAACACATCTACAGTAATTGCATTGCATCAGATAGTTTTTATTTCTTAAAAGAGACATGGATAATCAGAATTCTCCAGACTAAGCCGACTGGCAGGTCTTTCAATTCCTGAGATGAAATGTAGTAAAGGGGATTATGCTAAAACCATTTTGGGGGATTGTCCAACTTTTTTTTTCAGATGCTAGAAAAATAGAACATAATTGAGTTTGGTCCATATACTCTTACTTACTACTCCATGCTAATTTTTCTTATCCAGCCTCAGATATATATGTTTTAGTGTATGTGTGGCTGTGTGTCTTTTTTTTCCTTCTGTGCCTTTGTATGCATTTTTTTCTGCTTGTGCATGTATGTCATGTATGTCACTGTCAGTGTCACTGACACGTTAATCAAAACAACCCTCAATTTGCATGCTTGCTTGTTTGCCTGGATGTTCGGACAATTGCATAACTATTTTACAATAACATAAGAATTATGTGTTCCATATTGGGTAAATGCAGGTTCTGGATTGGAAAAGGTAAATGTATTCATCAAGGAAAATGGAATTAGGAACTGACTTTTTTCAACTAGGAAAAACGATCTTATCACTCACTCACTCAGTTACTCAAACTCTTGCACGGACGCAGACACACTCACACGGACGCAGACACACTCACACGGACGCAGAACACTCGCACAGACACAGACACACTCGCACGGACGCAGGCACACTCGCACGATCGCAGGCACACTCGCACAGATGCGGACACACTCGCACAGACGCAGACATACTCGCACAGACGCAGACAACACTCGCACAGACGCAGACAACACTCGCACAGACGCAGACAACACTCGCACAGACGCAGACAACACTCGCACAGACGCAGACAACACTCGCACAGACGCAGACAACACTCGCACAGACGCAGACAACACTCGCACAGACGCAGACAACACTCGCACAGACGCAGACAACACTCGCACAGACGCAGACACACACTCGCACAGACGCAGACACACACTCGCACAGACGCAGACACACACTCGCACAGACGCAGACACACACTCGCACAGACGCAGACACACACTCGCACAGACGCAGACACACACTCGCACAGACGCAGACACACACTCGCACAGACGCAGACACACACTCGCACAGACGCAGACACACACTCGCACAGACGCAGACACACACTCGCACAGACGCAGACACACACTCGCACAGACGCAGACACACACTCGCACAGACGCAGACACACACTCGCACAGACGCAGACACACACTCGCACAGACGCAGACACACACTCGCACAGACGCAGACACACACTCGCACAGACGCAGACACACACTCGCACAGACGCAGACACACACTCGCACAGACGCAGACACACACTCGCACAGACGCAGACACACACTCGCACAGACGCAGACACACACTCGCACAGACGCAGACACACACTCGCACAGACGCAGACACACACTCGCACAGACGCAGACACACACTCGCACAGACGCAGACACACACTCGCACAGACGCAGACACACTCACACTCACACTCACACAGACACACTCACACAGACACACTCACACACTCACACTCACACTCACAGACACACTCACACTCACACTCACACTCACACTCACACAGACACACTCACACAGACACACTTACACACACACTCACACAGACACACTCACACTCACACAGACAGACACACTCACACTCACACAGACAGACACACTCACACTCACACAGACACACTCACACAGACACACTCACACTCACACTCACACTCTCACAGACACACTCATACTCACACAGACACACTCACACTCACACAGACACACTCACACTCACACACTCACACTCACACAGACACACTCACACTCACACAGACACACTCACACTCACACTCACACAGACACACTCACACTCACACAGACACACTCACACTCACACAGACACACTCACACTCACACTCACACTCACACAGACACACTCACACTCACACTCACACTCACACACTCACACTCACACAGACACAGACACACTCACACAGACACAGACGCACTCACACAGACACAGACTCACTCGCACAGACACATACACACTCGCACAGACACACATTCTCTCTCTCTCTCTCTCTTTTTCTCTTTCTCTTTCTCTCTCTCTTTTTCCCCTTTCTCTCTCTCTCTCTCTCTCTCTTCTCTCTCTCTCTCTCTCTCCTCTCTCTCTCTCTCTCTCTCTCTCTCTCTCTCTCTCTCTCTCTCTCTCTCCCTCTCCCTTCTCCCTCTCTCATATTACCCTTATTTTTATAGAATGGAAAAAAAAATTGACATATCATTCATTTGCTTCTCTATGCTTCTTCAGTTCTTAATTTACCATGTACAAATAGAATGTATATCTAGCAGGTAAATTGGCATGATCATAAAGTGAAGCATAATACATATCTTGTAATGCAAGTTCTATTTTTAATGATCCCCTCTTCATTCCTGCAGGAATGTCACACCTTCACCCCTGATTGAGCAGCTGCTCAATCAGTCACCGAAGAAAAAGAAACCCAAACGACATCCGATCCATCAGAACAAGAATGAGGAGGAGCTGATCTTCACTGGAGAGGAGGTGGTGGACGAGAGCTGTCCCAGGTTCTGGACGATATATATGCCAAAGCCGGGGAATCCTGTAAGTTGAATTTGTCTTTCTAAGACCACTCTCTTGCAGCTCTTGTTAATTGCTGTTTTTGCATTTCTTTCCTTTCCCTATTCTTTTCCTCCACTTTTACTTTAATTTTGTACAGTTTGCTGGTACTACTATGTCATGCATACTTTGTTTGCTTTTAATGGTTTTCACTGATTCCATCCCTCTGAGTTCCTTATTAATGCTATTAAGTCTCTTCAGTTTTGGCAAAAAGAGTCACTTCTTTTTTATCCAAAAATTAGATGAAGGGAGCTTGCTTGTTTGTATACATGAATGTTTATATGAAATGTCTCTATATAAACATGCAGATGAGCGTGAAACAAGATTGCCTTCTACAATTTAGTAATATTTCAGGCTGGACAAGTGAGTGAACCATCAAGTGTCGTGATCACCTTCACCAACCAGTGTGAGGTGATTTAGAGAGTATGGGGACAGGGAGGCGATCAACATGGGAAGTTCGTGTTCTCATTGACAGTGCATTGCTTTAAATGACAAAAATTTAATTTTATGCACTTCCTGTCTTTTGTTTTATTTTCGTAATTTGGATATTTATAGGAATGCCTTTGCCTAAATGTTGAAGTATACTGATATATGTAAATGCACAACAGATGTGTGTATTTTTATTTTTCGTTTATTTTGGTATGTAAACCTGCTTGTTTACTTTATAGGTTTGACAAACAAAGATATGCATTCCTAAACAATACTGAAATAAGCTAAAGACAAGTTTTAATGCTAATAAAAAAAATCAACAGTAAAAGAAGATGTATATATAAAATTGCCTCCCCCTCCTCCCCACCATGCTCATCTGCCCAAATGTAGAATGGACAAGAGTCCTTCATCTTTAATGGAAGCTTTCCATTTTGTTTAGTTGTCACTGGATAGCTCAGAAAGTTAAAAAACCTGTGCATGTTTTTCACGTTTCATTCTTAACACCTTAGTATAAGATCTTCCAGTC